CCCACTGCCCCTGGCCCCTGGAACCTGGCCTTCTGCATCCTGACCTCTGGCAGAGCCCGGGGCCCTATAAATCTCCCGCTACTCCCCTGCGCGAGTGTGTAAGTTTCTTTTGGTCACTAAGGTGGTGGTACAGACACTGTAGGTCGAATATCTTGCAGTTCAGGAGGTCAGAGGTCTAAGGGGGGTGGGCAGAGCTGTGAGCTCTGGGTGGGCAGCTGCTTCCCCGCCTTGCCCAGCGCTAGGAGGCTGCTCTCATTCCATGGCTTGTGCTCCCAAACACTCCCCAGAGCTTCCAAGTTCCTTTTCCTGCGGAGGCCAGGTCGGTCACACATTCTGGGTTCCAGGGATGTGGACGCGGGCATCTCTGGGGAGTGATTATTGTTACCTGGTTACCAGTGAGTCAATGAACAAACGGCCACGTTGATTCACAGCTCACCGCACAGCACGCACAGGACACAGGGCGTGGGTGCATCCTGAGAGCCGCTCGGTGGCCTGCACCTGGGGCGAAGCACCAAGCAGCGGAGCCCTAACCTGGCGGAGACTGAGCCAGGAAGTCTGTAAAGCACGGAGATAAATAAGCGAGTGACAGGGCTGTGAGAATACTCGGTGCGATCCCAGCAGCCCCTCCGAGAGCCACGTCTCCTGGTCCTGGGACTCCGCTCCCTCCTGGCCCTTCTGGCCCCCGGGGGTGACAGCGCCTCCCCACCACCTATTGCTCGTTTCTGGGTGCTGCACCCTCCCCTCCCCACAGCGACTCTCCCAGGCCGCCCACGTATAATGAGCCACCTGCCGCCTGCTGGCCCTGAGGGGTGCAGGTGCTTACCGTGTGCTCCGCCCGCTGCGGTTGTCACTCGCTGGTCTGCAGGAGGGGCCCCCGCGGAAGAGCTGGATTGTGTCCTCCACGCTTGCAGCAGAGGCATTCACAGCCGCCCAAAGGCGGGAGCACCCGTGTCGTGAATGAGGAATAAAGAGAGTGACGTAGGCACAAAGCTTGAGATGTGCACTTTGTGAGCCGTGGAATACTAGACAGACTCAAAGAGGAAGGATGTTCTGACGCACGCTGCAACACCAGTGGCCCAGAAGGCTTTATGCCGAGTGACCCAGACCAGACACAGAAGGACTGGTGCCCACGTGACTACGTGCTTCAGAGGCCCCGGGGGAGTCAGTGCCGTAGAGACATAGGTAGAATGGCACGGTCAGGAATGCTGGGGCAGAGGCAAGTGGGAGATCAGTGTTGAAGTGGGACGAGGTTTCGGCTTGGGAAGATGCAAAAATGCAGGAGGAGTTGGATGGTGGTGATAATCACCTAATAATGTGACTGTCACCAAACTGGACACTTGCACATCCTTATCAGGATGGCAAGTCACACATTTCCCTGCTCAGGAAGTTTTTTGTTGATTACCTACTGTATGCTGGGCCCTGTGGAGGTGGTGGAAATACAAGGCATGGTCCTGTATAAAATTACAAAGTGAAAGAAACATCCAGGCGTGTGAAGAGCATACCATGATAGAGGAAGCAACACGTGCAAAGGCCCTGAGGTAGATGGGAAAGTGGCATGAACCAAGAGGCATAGACAGGAGTGTTTGGGTGGGTAGGGAGGAGCTGGCACACAGCGAAACTGGGCAGTCGCAAGGGCCCAAGGACCCAACAAGTATTCTACTCTTCACTGCCCTCCCAGCAATGGGAAGCCTCGTACAGAGTTTGAGTCAGGGAAGTGAAATGATTCCATTAAACTCTAGCCAGTGCAACCAGAAGCAGGCTGCCCCCACCTGAGGTGGGAGCCCATTGAAATCCCAATTCCAGCCTCATTATGCGGAAAACACGGCCTTCCCAGGGAGAAGGCAGTGCTGGCTAAAAGAATCTGCAAATTAGTTTTTTAATCTGCTTTAAGTTGCTAAAGTGCCCCAGCCTTTCTTCCATTGTCCCCTGATGGCCTGTGCGCTATTTTAACATTTATTAGAGAATTTTCTTTTTTTTTTTTTATTAAAGGAGTTTTTTTTGTTTTCTTTTTGAAAAACAAATCCCAGCTGTACTTTGATAAGACAGAATTAAAAATGGCACTGGGGAAATGCCACAGAAGGCTTATGGCATCTGAACTGATTTAAATAATAATTATTTATCTCATCTCCGTGCAGCCCCCTTGCCTCTCACCCTGGCCTCCCCAAAAACACTGCATGGTCTCAGCAGCTCCGAAAATGTGCTGTCTCTAAGATCCCCAGCTCTTGACTCCCGGAGGGCAAGGGACAGCCTCACAGAGTTCAAGGCCTCACCTGAAGGGCTTGAGGTGTAGCGGGATCTTGTTCACGGCAAGCATTGCCTGGTCACTGCCCTGGGGCCTTGGATCATTTGTTCCAACCCCTTAACCTCCAGCTACTCGAAAGTAATGTGGACATAATGCCAAGGTTCATCTTCTGCAGGATTCTTTAGGTTATAAGTGTCAGAAAGCCCAATTTAAATAGCATTACCCTTCTATTTCTTCTCAGATAGGAAAGGGAATACATTGGCTCATGTAACTAGAAGTCTAGCTTCAGGCTTGGCTGGATCCAGGAGCTTGACAGTGTCACAGGTCTCTCCCTCTCCCTCTCTCCTCTCCTCTGTGCCTCTCTGGTTCTTCCCACTTTACCAGCCTCCCGTCTGTCCTTTTCTCTCAGGGACCTCTTTTGCAAGCTGGCTCCTTTCTTCTGGGCACAGAACCAGAGAAGCATCTTCATGCTGGTGTTGAGGCAGCTGCAAGCCCAGTGGCAGCAGTTGCTGCAACAGGAATTGTGATTTCCTGGATCAATCCCAGTGGCCAGGGTCCTGTGACCAATCCCAGCGGATCGGCCTTTACGGCTTCCTGAGGGAGTCCACAGAGGAAGCCAGGGCCTGGTTAACTTCTAGAGGGGACCAATTGCTGGGCACATGGAAAGGACCTATCGCCGGCCTCACGGGATGGGCCAAGGACACAAGGAGGCGGCACGCATGGCGGAGGATGCTGCCTGTGACTGTCCCTGTGATGATCATTGGCCTGGTGACCACACAGGCCAGCCGGGCTCAGCACTGACAGGCACCCCGAGATCTGTTCAGCCAGGACATCCCACCAACCCCTGGGCCCCCTGGCATCTGTCATATCCCTTCCCTTCTGGTTGACAAAAGCAGCTCCCGCTGTCGTCCTGTCACCGTCCCAGCTAACACCCAGGATGGCTCAAAAGACGCAGCTTAGGGACACAACTCCAGCTGCCTCCAGAGGCAGGCAGGTCTCCAAGGCGTGTGCCAGTGCAGTGTCCGGTCTTGGAGGGAAGGTGGCTGTTTCCAGTCCCTCTTTCCACACGAGGACTTGGCCCAGGGTGGCCACACAGCTTGGTTTATTTTCTCTTAAGCCCAAGGTTGTAGCAAAATCCACCTGGTGGTGACTATTGGTCACCAGCTCAGGCAGTTTTGGCACAGAGTGGCCAAGGAGGCGCCTGGGCGGCCGCCTGTCAGCAAGGACAGATCTTTCCTGCCTGGACAGGACAGAGCATGTGTTGGCGGTGACCCCAGAAGACACCGCCGGTTGTTCTGGCAGCTGGGGCCATGTGCCTTCTGCACGGTGGCCCCTTGATGTCCCTGGAGGGCCTGTTTTACTCGGAGCTGTGCCACTCTTGACGGGCTCTGGGGATGAGACTCAGCAGGACTGGATGCATAGAAGCAGTTGATTTTGCTGCCCAAGATTATGAAGCTTCTGTCTGATTTCTGGCTGGGCACTGTTGATGTCCTGGGGTAAAACTCCTGAGAGTTTGGGCAAATAACTCAGTTGCTGTCCCTCTGGGCAGGGGGGATTCCATCCTGCCCCTCCCACTTCGCAGCTGAGTGACTTAGGGTGAGTCGCTTGACCTCTCTGAGCCTCCACTTTCCCATCAGCAGATGCGCGGGGGTGGGGTGGGGGGAGGGTTCTCCTAGTTCCTGGCCCCTGGAGGTGCTGGGTCCATAGTAAGTGCTCAGTAAAACAGGTCTTCCTGTGACACTGCAGGACCCTGCGGAAAGGGCGGGAGATTCGGAGGCTTCTTGCAGGGACTGAGCATTTGCTGTGCCAGGTCCTCTCCAAGCACAGTCCTCTCCATCCTCCCACAGCCCAGGGGGTGGATGGCTTTACTATGAGGAAACTGAGGCTCTGAGTGACAAAAGGCACTGTCAGAGGTCACACATGTAGGACTTGGTAGGGCTGGAATTTGAACTTTGACTTCCCCGGACCTAGAAGCCCTGCCTCTCGTGAGCAAGCCTGCCTTCCAAGGGGACAGTTTACATTTACACCAACTGTACCCCCGGATACAGGGGAGACCCAGTCTTGTGCTGCTTATTCACTTGCTGTGTTATCTCAGGGGACCTTCTTGACCTCTCTGGGCCTGTTTTCCAGCTCTGTAAACTCACCCTTCTCCCATCCACCTCTGGGCCTTTGCACATGTCATCAGCCCAACGTGCTTCCCTCTTTGCCTGGTTAATTGCAACCCCCCCCTTCAGGTCTCCAGTGAGACATTTCTTCTGCGAGCTCCTTGGGGGCTGCCCTGTGCTTACCAAGCTCCAAATCATTCCTCGGGGGTTGTCATGACCGCTCCAGGTGATGGTATGTGGCCCGTATCTCATCTCTGGAACTGTGTGGCAGGTCAGGGGGTCAGGGCACTGCTGTGTTGTGTTCAGCTCCCTTCTGAGGTCACTCGCAACCTGCCACTTGCGACACAGAGGTTGTGGAGCTCGTGGGTGAAGGTAAAAGGAGACCTTGGGACACCTACACCCTGCCGCTGTGGGTGTGAATCCGTGTCACTGCTTTGAAAGCCCGAAGGAACTTTCTTTTTTTGTTGTTTTTTTCTGTACCGGGGATTGAACTCGGGTCCTTGCGCTTGCGAGGCAGGCAGCGGAACCACTAGCTAAATCCCCCCCCTCCGACGGAACTTTGTAACGCGGTGCAGCGCATCCCCGCGGCCTGATGTTGAGCTGTACCCCGAAGAGCAGTGACTGTGCTCTGTTTCATTCTGTTGTTTCTGTAGTATTCACAGCAGCAAAAGCCAGAGACAACCCAAATGTCCACTGTGGCAGAACGGCCAAGCGAATAGTCCACAGCCGTGGCAGAAAACCACCTGGCCTGCAGCCGCATCCGCATGCCACGAAAAGACGCGTCACGCAAAAAGAATGCCAGCAAAAAAAAAAAAGAAAAAAGAAAAAAAAAAGCCAGACCCAGAGTTGCATGCTGGGAAATTCTAGTTATGGGAGGAGGCTAAACTACGGTGTCTCGGCGGCACGCGTGCGTAGTGAAAATATTATAAAGAAAACGAAGAAAAAATGGCTATGGTGGTCAGAAGGTAACTAGCTCGGGGGAAGGAGGAGAGGAGTTGAGTAGAGGGGTACAGAAGGGGTTTTGGGGGCTGGCAGTGTGGACTCTCGCCCTGGATGGTGGCCACACAGTGTGTATTCATCGTGCAAGAATTCACGCATTTGTACCTTTTGTTATATGTGTATGTGGGTCATGGTTCCCATGAAAAGGTCCCCTGTGCCCCTTCGGATAATGACCTCTGGGGAATCCCACCGTGGCCATTGTTGTTTAGGCCTCGTGCACAGAAAGCATCCCTTGACTTCCTGTTTTCAACTGACTTGTTTACCTTCAGGGTGACAGATCCTGGTGTATCCCCTCTGTCCAGGAGGCCCCTCAGGGGTCCAAAGTTGCATTGCGAAAACAAGCTGAGGGTCTTTTGTCCTGGCACAGGGGCCACCTGCCCAGAGGCATGATGGTCCTTACTCCAGAAGGTGAGAAGGCTGGGATTTGATTGCCCCAGAAAAACATAAGCCTAAAAAAGGAAAATAGGAAAGAAAGAGAAGAATAAAACCCAAGACACTCGATCTAGGCCCTGGTTTGCAGGACACTGACAGACAGGGAGATAAGCTGGTGTAGGGAGGGTCAGGTGACAGTGTGGGGCAGGGTTGGAGTGAGGACACAGGTCCCCACGGCCTGCGGGGAGCTGGTGTCCAGGGCCAGGAGGCCTTGGTCTCTGTATTCGCCATCTTGGTGGTTCTCCCAGGGCCTGGAGTCCCTTTCTGCAGACGGGAGGTGGGGATCTAGGCTCTGCTCTTGAACCCAGCCCAGCTGGAGAGCAGACACTCTCATTTCTGCAGGTCTTTGAAGCTTGAATGGGGCTGGACGGGACTGGAGCCTTGAAGGGTTCTCAGCAGTCGGCCTGACCGTGTGGATCCCGTAGCTGCTGAGGACGAACTTCATTCATCTGTCCATTTAAGAAACATGCCTCCATCTCTCGCCGTTCTCAGAACGGGTGTGAATTGAATTTATTTTTGGGCCAGGCTTTGTAAAACCTCAAATATGGTCACCACTGCCACCTGATTTGGGTTTGCCCAAATCTTTCTTAGCACTGAAAACCCAGTGGTCTCCGGACACCCTAGAACAGGGCAGACCCTGGAAGGGTGAGCGACCACCCTGCCGCCACCCTCGAGAGCTCGCAGCCTGGTGAAGGAGGCGGGAAGTCCCATGCCGTCATGTCAGCAGTCACGGCCCTGGAGGAAGCACAGGGCCCCCACAGTCTAGGGGAGGCCCCTCTCCTAGGTCATGGGCTCGGGGAGGCCTCCCGGAGGAGGAGGAGGCATCTGAACGGAGCTCTTGGAGAGGAAGAGGATCAGGCAAAGGTGAGGAGGTGAGGGGACCCGGAGGGGTTGTGTCACAGCAGGCCTTTGGCAGGAGAGGGGAGGTGAAGAGCAGGTCCCCCGTGGGTGGGACTGCTTGTTCCTCCTTCTAGCTGCGCTGGCTGGAGCTGGTCGTCTCTGGCCTCTTTCTCATCCTCCTACCCCCATAGGTCTTCAGGGAACCCAACTCCTGCCCCTGCCCTTCCCCATGGCTCTTATCACCTCCTAATCTGCCGTGGAAATGACTTACTTATTTAATTCGCTGTCTGTGGCTCCCTCTTAGGATAGGGCTTTTGCAACCTTGGCATGATGGGCATTGTTGTTGGGATTGTAGAGGGCGCTGTAGGAGGTTTAACAGCATGGCCGGTCTCTACTCAATACGTGCCCGTAGCACTCACCACCCTGCCCCACTGTAACAATCAACAGTCATCTCCAGACACTGCCAAGTGCCCCAAAAGTGAGGAGACCTGGCAGCATCGCCCCCCAATGGAGGACTGCCTGCAGGGAGGCCTGACTGGTAGTGGTGCTCGCTCCATGTTTGTTGAGTGAATGAGTGAGTGTGGTCTGAGCTGGGGTAATGGCTGTGGGGGTGGTGAAGGAAAGGCTTGGAAAGTAGGTAAGGATAGGAGCAAATGCTATGTAGAGCCACCGTCACGTTTATTATGGTGCCAGTGACCACCACTCCATCATCTTCCCCGGGGGCTCACATTCCTTTTATCCTACGGCAGAGGGCCCCACAGTAACGTGTGGTAGGTCCAGGCCAGGCTGGAACCCGGCCTTGGGAAGTGGGGTACAGAATTGCTGAGCTCTTGCTACTTGCCAGGGCTTTTGTGTGGATCACCTCATTGAAGCCTCCAACCATATCATGAGATGGCTACGATCAGCCTGTTGTCACACGTGGGGATCTCTGAGGGTCCGAGAGGTGGAATGATTTGCCCAGAGTCACGCGGCCATGACCAGAGCCCGCTTGCTTGACTTCCAGGTAGGGGGTAAAGGAGGCACAATCTGTGGACCTTAGCCAAAAGTACCTTTCCTTTCCCTTTTGTCAGCCAGGAGAGATGACCAAAGGGTTAACCACTGGTACCATAATTCTTTAAGGCTGCACTTCAAAGTGACTCGGAGACACTGAAAAATTCACCAAGCCCCTGGTCTCATGAAACCTTTGGTCCTTAACCTCACTCTCCCAGGCCCCAGGTGACAGGGCAGGGACAAGGCTGGGGCTCTAGCACATGCGCCGTTAAGCTAGACGTTAGCAAAGCCTGCGCTTTCTCTGTATAGAAATCCTCCTGTGAGCCCACTTTGCAGAGGAGGGAGCTGAGGTTCAGCCTTCTGCTCCTGCCTTCCTGGAGAAGCGGACGGGCGACTCTCGGGAGGCTCAAGTAGTTTATGTACTTTATGTTTTACTTATGTCTGGCCCAAGAGTTCATGCTCTGAACCACTGCACTGATGACGGACACAGTGATGTTAAAGAACTGTCATCATGCTGTGCGTTACGCGCTGCCTCCTGAGGGTGGTGCCATGGGTGCCCGCCTTTTAGCAATGGGAAACTGGGGGCTGTGCTGTGGGTGGCAGAGCTGCAGTCTGAACCTGGCTTGTCCGATGCTGCCGAAGGCTGGGCTTTTCAGCATGCTGTGGTCCTTCCCTCCAGGCCAGGCTGCTTTTCAGTGATACTCAACTCCTCTCCAGGAGGGGTACTGAACTTCCCCAAAGGGAGGGGCTGCAGGCTGCGGGAGCGTCCAGGAAGGAGGCTGCATCTGCTCTGGGGGTCAGAGGGTCATTCTGAGATGAGGGGCTGAGGAGGGGATGGCGGGCGTGGTTCAGCCAAGGAGCGGAGGACGCTGGTTCACCAGGGTGAGGGAGACCTCAAGGATGGTCTGCAGAGGCAGGGATGGGCCTGGCCGGGGCACAGGGACAGGAGCGAAGCCGCGAGGTGGCCAGGGCCCTGAATGCAGTCAGAGCTCCGCACGGGCTTGTTTCCTTTGATGCTTCTCAGTGGCCACGTCCTGGTATGGAATCCAGACCAGGCGCCAAGCCCAGTATGAGTGTCCTCTGGAGTCCTGTATCTCCTGGGTGGACCTCCGTGACGGCCCTGTTATGGTTTAGGTGTAAGAGGCCCCCCAAAAGGCTTGTGTTAAGAGGTAGGGCTTCAGAAAGGTGATTGGCTCTTGAAGGCACTGATAGTTCCTAGCTGATGTGCTGTGGAGCAGTGGGACCAATGAACAGCCCTCATCACTCTTCTGAGCCCCTGTGTGGATTGTGTATTAGAGGTGGGTAAACTGAGATCATCCGGACCGAAGCACTCTCGTTTTATATCTGGGGAAATTGATACCCGGAGGGAAAGGCACATGGTCAGTCAGAATCAAAGACAAGATTAGGATCTAGGCCTAGCTGCCCAGTGCCTCTTCCTCCCGGCAGTCCTTCAGGCACCTCCCAGAATGCCTTGCTCACAGAAGCGCCACATAAATATTTATGAGCCTCGAACCCACTGGGGACTCCATTGAGGCTGCTCCCTGGGACTGATCTAGTTCCCTCTCTGATCTCAGAGTTTTCAAAGATGAAAACCTACTCCACAGGGTAATGGGCAATTAAGTGCTCTTTTTGGCGAGATAACACTTCTCATTTCTTTCCAGAATGTGTTTGCCTCCCCTGAGGTCAGACCAGTTCTTTCCAACAATTCTGTTCACTCTCTCCTGCCCACCTCCTCAGAGATAAGGAGGCCACGCACTCTTGCGGGCAGTTGCCCTCCTGGATCCACCTCAAGGGTTGGGGAAGAGTCAGTTACTCTCACAATGAGGGCATTTATTGGGACTCTCCTCCCCTCCGTCCCCTGGGGCACTCAGGAAACCCAGGAAGAGCTAGGAGGAGAAAAGTGAGAAACAAAATCCAGCCAAACTGCCTGTTCTGAGGGCGATGCCCTGCAAGGAGGCACAGCCAACTCTGATTTCACAGATGTTCAGACAGTGCTTCCCGTGGCTCGTTTTCCCTGTGGGTGGGCTGGTAGGGGGTGGTGGCCAAGGGAAGACAAAGTTACAGCTCCACTCAACCCAAGGCAAGGCTCCAACCTGAGCAGGGTGGGAGCCAGGAGAACAAGGGCTCTGTGTGCTGCGTGCACCAGGGGCGTGAGCGCTGGGCTTCCACAGGCTCCAGCCAGGCGCTGGCCACAGTCAGAAATCTGTGATGTGGCCAGAGAAGAATGTGCCAGGCAGGCAACGGTGCCATGGCGTGGAGCCCCGGACAGAATGTTCTCCTGGTGATCCACGTTCAGGAATGATGATAAATTCCCTGCTTGTGGCAGAGCCTGCTCTGGGATAAAGGTGGTGCCTAGGAATTAGCCAGTCCTGAGCCAGGAGCCCAAAAGGAGAGAGCTGGGGTTTTTCTTCCTTGGAAATGCAGTAGAGCCCTGGGAAACTCAACTGGAATGCTTTGCGGAGCCAGACAAGTGACACAAGGTGGATTTGCTGCAGACCCTGGCAATGTGGGCAACCTGTGCTACCACGGAAGGCTGTTTTCCGAAGCCCATGGTTGTGGTAGGTTTAAGTCACAGCTCCAGCACATGCTAGCTCAGGGATCTCAGACAAGTGATTGACTCTCTGTGCCTCAGTTTCCCCATACATAAAATTGAGTTGCACTGTTATTTACCTTGTAGAGTTGTTTTGAGGCTCAAAGGAATCAGTACCCAAAATTACTCAAAACTGGGCTGGCTGAGTTTATCTTTCATGAGCAGCAAGAATTCATCATTAAGTACTGGCAAGGAAGTCAAAGAAAATTAATAAAACCAGGGTCCTGGCTCTGTGCAGCCCCCAGCCTGCAAGCCACCCTGACAAGCTCTGGACTGCTCTTGTAGGCTGACTTGGGCTCCAGCACTGGGTCTGCCCTTTCTTGGCTGTAAACCTTGGACAGGTGACAACTTGTCCGTGGTATGTTTATGTCACCTGCGGTACCCCGGGGGTCTTGCCAGAGGACCCAAGTCCATTGACAACGTGGAGAAATAACCAGGGATGGTGCAGAACCCAGAGCTAGCAATGATGGGTTATTATTACCACCCACCGGGCTGCATGGCAAAGAGCAGGATCCCGGAGAAAGTGGCTGTGTGCAGAGGCAGAGCATCACCTGCAGCTCTAGGTTCCTTGGTGGAGGGGCTAAGCCAATGCTAGTGGCCCTGCAGAGAGAAGGGAGCTGGGGAAAAAAAGGATGTGCTGATCATGTTCACCCCCCTGCCGGGTTCCTGCTGGTGCCTCCCATTGGCCAAGCCCACATCGCAGGGAAGAGAGCAGAAAGGCCCATTGGTGTGATTCACACAGACCGCCTGGCCAACAGCAGGGCAGAGGAGGAGCAGGGGGCATTTGGACAACACTGTGGATCTGAGTAACAGGGACCATTGTCCATAATGCTGGGTGGCTTTCTCAGACTAGCTTACGCGTGATGCTTGCTGTATGTTTGCAGCAATGAAGTAAAGATATTTTCATTGTTAATGGAGCAGGGAGGCCAGAACACTGACAAGGGTTTGCGGCCCGGCCGAGTGTCCCAAGTGGGTCAGTGCCCCTGCAGAGATGTTGATCAGTCTGTCGGTTTCCTTTTCAATCCCTTCTGTGACATTACTACAGAGGTGATGGCTAAACATGTTTATTCTGGAGGCCAAAAGTCCAAATCAGGTCTTGCTGGGCTGAGCTGAAAATCAAGGTATAACAGGACTGAGATCCGTCAGGCTGTAGGGGAAAAGTGGCTCCTTGGTTTTTCAGCTTCTGGAAGCTGACCAGGTTTTTTGGTTTGTGATCGTCTTCCATCTCAAAGCCAAGAATGGCATTTTGTTAGTCACTTTCCTGTTACGCGGACAAAATACTCAACACCCACAAGGAGGAGAGGTTTATTTGGCTCCTAGTCGCCAAATGGTGGGATCAGTCCATGGCTGGCTGGTTCCAGGGCAGGAAAGCATGGCGGAAGGAGCTGGTGGAGGACAGCTGCTCACCCCATGGCAGCCAGGAAGCAGAGGGAGGTAGGGGCTG